GCTAAATGACAGGCATGGTGGCATTCACAGGCTTGAGGCAGGAGGATTGGGAGTATAAAAAAAAGCAACCTGGTCTATGCAGTAAGTCTATCTCAAAACAAAACAAAAACCACCTTTCCCTACCCCAAAAAAATTTAAGAAGCAGATGAAGGAAGTAATGAGGATTGATTATGAATATATTCTTAGTGAGGATTATGAATATATTATTGGCACATGAATACACTCAAAATATAAATTAATATAATTTTTCTAATTTATGAAAACTCTTAGCTTCTTTAGTAAGTACACAGAATATTTACTCTTGCCAATAAACAGAAAAGGGAAAAGGGGAATATTCGAGCAAGCCAGGAAGTAAGGGACTCACTGACTCCGAGACATACTCAAATTGGTCATTCCAAATAGCACCAAGCTTTTACTTTCTTTTTCTCCCTCTTTCCAAGTAAGTAATTCCAAGTCCTGCTTGGTTCTTCCTCTCACTTTCAATATTTCTATCACTATTTTTGTTAACAAACTGGATTAATGCCAAAAACAAAGGTAAAATCTCAACTACGTGGATATGTCTGTTATAGTTTCTGGTCCTTTCCATCTTCTTATTTGTAAAATTAGAATATATTTAAACAAACTTCTCAGGACTATTTTGAGGAGTAAACTGTAACATACAAAACTGCATTGGCAAAAAGGACAATCAAAAGATGGCTATCTTTATAAATTATATTTCTAACTTCTGTGGTATTTTACTGAAGTAGTTTCTCTTATTGTTTCCATCGTTTAAGTTACCCATGGCCAACTATAGTTCAAAACTATGAAATGAAAATTTTAATAATAATTCACAAGTTAGTGTGCTAACTTGTATAGGGAAATATATCAAGCTGCCTCACTCTGGTCCAGTGCATATAGCTGTTAGCAAATGAATCGCTATGCTATCACAGTACTGTCTATAGGTTGAATGTATTTTTACTAAATAATGGCCCAGAACACTAAATTCTAATATGCCATAAAATACTTCATAAAGGTGAAAGTTCTTAACATTATAAGAGTAAAAAACAAAACAAAACAAAAAAAATCATATGCTAGTCTGGAGAGATGACTTAGAGGTTAAGAATATGTATTACTCCCAGAAATACCAGAATTCAATTGCTAGCACCCACATCAGGTGACTCACAACTGCCTGTAATTCCAGCTCTAGGAGATCCAACAACTCCCAACCCCCAACACACACATATACACATGATTAAAAAACAAAAATCTGAGGCTGCTAAGAAAGTAACAGTAGGGGCTGGAGAGATGGCTCAGCAGTTAAGAGCACTTGTCCTTGCAGAGACTCTGAATTCAATTCACAATATCCACATGGCAACTCACAACTTTCTATAACTCCAGTTCAAGGAGACCCAAAGTCCTCATCTGACCTCAGCAGGCACCAGGCATGAATATGCATGCAGGTGAAACACTGATATGTAAAGTGAAATAAATAAGTCTTAAACAAACAAACAAACAAAATCAATGGAGTGACAGGTTCAATCTGTGAAATTGTAAAGGAGTTCTGACAAAGTTACAGCCATGATACATCAAAATGCTTAGTTAAAGGGGAAAAAAACATTAAATTGATGAGTGGAAGCTTGAACAATCACTATTGTTAATCTTCTACTGTGCCTAATTATAAACCATAAGCTTATAGAGACAAGAAAAACAGTATGTGTACAAGACTCAACACTAGCAGTAAATGTATGTATTAACCAGAGATCTTAGAATACATTCCCCCAGAAAGAGGGACCACTGTAAACTATAGATGAATACAGTTCCATTTCCCAAAGATGGCTAGTTACTTTTGATTTTTTTTTACTTACCTAATAAGTAAATATGAAAGTTGCATTCACATTATCCATCCTAACAGCCTTATTAGTCACTAAAATTTCAATTAGCTTAAATTAAAAAACCAAAACAAAACACATATCTCTCTTTTTCAAACAGCCATTACTTCTGCTTTTCCACACATAATTGAGATTATCTCATCATTAACCACAAACTCAAGACTCCAGTAACATACACAACTGTTACATAATGTTTCCTTGGTATTTACATTATTTTTTTTTTATTTTTACAGATGCAAACTTCAAAGCAATGGGTTTAGTTCTAAATTCTAATCTTTCTCAAGTAAGATATTACAAAATTCTGGGAAAAAATCCAAGGTTATTTATAATTTCCAGTACTGGATGGCTCTCTTGAAAAAAACAGAGATTGTATGGTATCGAATGAAAGAGACAGACTCTTAGAACCAGCTGTGCTGTCAAACAGAAACATTCTTTCTCCATCTGAGGAGATGACTCAATAAATTCAGATCCCCAGAACCCATGGGGAAGTCAGCCACAACAATGCACAACTGGACATCTGCAGTGAGCTAGGTGAACACTGGGATACAGATGATTCCAAGGGTCACTGACCAGCTAGTCTGGATCACAGCACTGACATCAAGTTCAGTGAGACCTTATGTCAAATTATAAAGTAGAGCGCAATAGAGGAAGATATCCAAACTAAACGCTCTGGCCTCCATATGTATACATACACATATATGAGTAAATCTGAACACATATGTACATATAGCCCCTCCCCACAGAAAAATATTCAAGTTAAAAAGTCAACTGAAAACTGCAAAACTACAAAGAACAAAAACAGCTATTTTAATAGATGCATTATTTCATGTCATGTTTATTTTCTAATAAAAATATTGATACAGCATTTTGTCCTTATACATCAAGAAATTCCAATCACATTACAGTAACATATACCTGTTACTTGGCAGAGAACAGCTCTCTTCCCAGCTCTACTCTGAATAAAAAACAAGTGTTTCTCTTTTTCTACCATAATTCCCATTAAATGATTTGCTCAATAGCTAGCATCCAACATATGCACACATAAATATAAACACACAGATTTAAACATCAGACATCAGCTCCACCTATACTCTGCTCTTGACAATGTTGCTTATTCAAAAATCAGTAAATTTCAAAACAACCTTCTCATTAGTTTAACAAAAATTAGACTATCATGGATAGTAGCAGCAACAATTTTTCATGGAGAAAACAAGAAAAAGATGACCTAATATAAGTAAGAAGATCTTAAACCGATCACATGATGGCATTCAGATGTTAATAACAAGCAGTGGAATAGACTGAGACAAAGCAGATAAAGCATGGCTGTCTTCAGCAACTGGGACTGAAGGATGAAAAAAAAATACTCAAAACGTTCAGGAAAGGGGAAACAAAATAAGGCATAATACTAACTGACATATAATTGGTATAAATTACATTTATTACAACATTATGAAAAGTGAAGCAGCAACAGGGGCATGTGTACCATTCATAGGACAGCAGAGGCAGAAAAAAGTGAGACATTTGGTATTTAAGAACATACTTCTAGGATTAGAAAAAGGGAAAGGTGTTTGTTCAATACAAATCATGTTATTTCAGCAGTCCAGAAATAATGCTAGGAATATGCACTACAATGATGACTGTGGAGATGAAAAGAGAACAAAATTCAATAGGAGTAATTGATAGGCGTTTGCCAATGATCTACAGCTAGTACACAGCAGAAAGAGTCCATCAGAATCCTTCCCAGGCTTTGCAGCAAGCAGGAAACTGGGCAACAGGATACTATGAAAGCAAAGTGAGGTGGTAAACTCCCTGCTGAGTGTTCTGAAAGGGAAAAGGGCCAACCAAAGAAACACACCCTGAGCAGAGCCAAAGAAACACACTTTGGCCCTGCAAACAGAACCAAAGGAATGCACCTTGACCCTGAAACCAGGGCCAAAGAAACACACTTTGCTTCTGGAATCAGAGCCAGTCAAAGAAATACACCCTAGTCCCAAAATTAGAGCCAAAAGGCCTAAAAGGACCAGTGAACGAAACACACTTTGGCCCTGAAACCAGAGCCAAATCTGACCCTAAACCTGTGCAGAAAACCAACCAAGCCCCGAGCACAAGGTCTAGCCAGTCTGAGTTCAAGGCCTGAAATTTGACCAATCCCCACCCTGGAAATCTCCTTAGGAAAACCTCACGCCCTTAGAAGCCCTATATAAACCTATGTCTGTTCAGTTTGTAGCTGTTAGGCCTGCCCAGCCCAGGGTGGCAGAGGACAGCCACTCTCTCCTGGATTCTTCCCTCCTAATGAATCTCTTGAATGAGGTTTGGGTGAGACCTCCTTTCGCGCTTTTTTGCAACCCTGTGTGGAGCCAGCAAAATGAAGTTGGGAGGAGGGGGGCGAACTGTAACAGCTTCGAAGGGGAAACCCTCTCCTGCCAGAGCAGAGCTGATTGATACACTGGGAAAGCCTTTCCGTGAAGCTTGGCTGTAAGCTGCTACGCTTACTGTGACCTGTAGTATTCCTTGGCTCCTGAGTGCCAGAGTACCTTCCATCTGAGCTGTAATCAGTATTCTGGCTCCCGAGTGCCAGAGTCCCTGTCCATCCCATCCGAGCCATCAATATGCTTACATGTTCAGTAACAGAAATGTTTCCAGGGCACAATTACGATTTTTTTTTTAAAGGAAGCAAAACAGAAACCAAAAGGATAACCTGATAACAGATATTATAAAGAACCATCTTAAAATATAAACTTACTAAGTTTTTTTAAGTCTACATAAATTAATAACTACTATCTTTTTGTACCACAAATGACTTCTGTTTTTTAAATTACCATACATTTTATATTTAAGATAAACATAATAGTGTGAGACCCAGTTAATTCTTATCTATAAATATACATAAGACAATGAATGTACATTGGGATGTAAGATTTCTTAATAGGCTAATCAACATTTTAGAAACAGTTTAAACTGAAAAGCCAGTTACTATCAAATCTTGTATGAACAGGAAATCAAATTTTCCTTTTCCTGCAAATCCTCCAATAAAATGATTTTTTAAAAAAGCAAAAAAAAAAAAAAAAAAAAAAAAAAAAAAAAAAAAACCAAACTATCACACTAGACAAGTTTCCCAAGGTTCTTGGTTACCTTTACTTTATCTCTTCTCAAGCAACAGAACAGACAATTTTCATCAAAAGCCCAATCAGAAATGCTTTCAGGTTCACACTCTGCAAAAGTTAAAAAGCAAAACAAAAACAAAACAAACAAATAAGTTTTAATAGTCATAAAACAATTTTTTTCAGAAAATAAATCATAGCTAACTTCAAAATATTATATAGCTTAAGAAAAACCCTCATTAAATTCTCATGCCCCCATCTCCACCTGTAAAACAGGGTTTCTCTGTATAACAGTCCTGGCTGACCTGGAACTTGCTCTGTAAACCTGGCTGACCTCAAACTCCCAGAGATCCGCCTGCCTCTGCCTCTGCCTATGGGATTAAAGGTGTGCACCACCACTGCACAGCTAAGCTCTTGTGTTCTAATCAAACTAAGGGTCTCACACATGCAAAACTTCATACTCTACTCCCAACCATACCTTGAAATTCTTTCCACTAGACTGCCACACCACTTCTGTCTTTAAAATTCTTCACTTTAATTCCCAACTGCTCATTAGTTAATTCTGTTAGTCATACATACAGTAGTAGTATAAAACAGACACAAACATGCTGACATGAATGCAGTTTAACCCTTACAAGACTGAGCATAAGACCTACACCACTAAGGTGTTAGCCACAAGACTGTGAAGTACCAGAAATATTTTTGAATACCTTTAAATAAACTGAGATCTTTTAATAATGCAGGTCCAAACAGCCCTTCAAGAATACTTTCAAACCCTGGGAGGATAAAATAAAATGAAACGAAATTCATTATCACAATATTCACTGAAAAATATTGCTTTCTTCAGTTTCTCAAGAATCACTGGTTAATATTGAAGAGATGCTTGGGAAGGAGTCATACACAAATCTAAAAAGGGGTGTTTGTCTTTTTGTTAGTGATTAACATGGTAAAAATTCAACGTACATTCAAGAATAAAACAAAACAGAAACTAGGAAGAACTAATGATAGAATGGAAATTCACAATTCTCTAGTTCTACAAAACTTACAGAAATCAGCATTTTAAAAAGTGCCTTCCCAACCAAGTGTCAGGCTTCAGAACTTATATAAACTTTCTAGAATAATCTAAACAGTCGTTTTTTCTCTTCCTCCCCCCCCCCCCCCGCATAACAGTTGATGAATAAATTTCTCTCAGGTCAATAGTTTTCTAAAGAAAATTCTCAGTAACAGTTTCCCCATCCCTCACTATATTTTTAGAAGGAAAGCCCTATATTATTTCATAATACAATATGATGGTTCTTTTATAAAGGTAAAACTCACTAGGTACATAAACAGAAAAAAATGAGAAAATATTAACATAGCTATACAAAAATGTTTAAAAGCACTGTGTCTATTAGTGTAAAAGAAGAAAACCAGGTTTTTTAACAGACTATATCAAATACTAACATGTTGTTCAAATATCTAGCTGTTTTATGTTGAGACAGAGAAACACAGTGAGTAGGATGGGGGAATCTGCAGTGGCTCTCAAAAGAAAGTCAAGGATCTCACTATATAGTTCAAATATTCATTACAAAAGACCTGCGACTCCATGTCCACTTTAACTGTGACCTTTACAAAGAATGTTATGCATACCTTTACAAATTACTTTTCAAATGCATAGAAATACAAAGAATTTAGAAAGCAAAAGAGGACAGAAAAGGCGACTGGTTAGCCTTTCAGGGACTCAGCTTGTCTTCCAGAGGTTTGATTCCCAGCATCTGTATATAGGCTCTTAACTGTCCCTTAGTAATGCCAGTCCAAGGGGTCCAATGCCCTTTATGGCCTCCAAAGGCACTGCATGCCCATGGTATAATGGCAGGCAGGCAAAATGCTCATGTACATGTATAATTAAAAATTTTAAAGATAGTCTTCAAAAACAGCACTGTCTTATTTAAATGGCAATAAAAATAACATTGTAATTTAAGAAATGTCTTTGTCCTAATTCCTATAAAGCTGTTAATTTTCAAAACAGTAGCTGAAGTTTGTATTGTAGAGTTGATTTTATATTATTTTTAAACAGTAACTTTTGATTTGTTAATAGAAAGCAATAACTTTTCTACTTTATTTCTTGACATCAAATTACTCTGATAGCAAAATTAAATTACTCACTAACCAAATAGTTGCTTGCTATTTACCTGATAAAATTAATTACCATGTCCTCTTGCCCTTCCAAACATTAGAAAAGAAGTAAGAACCAGAGTTAGGGACTGTGGAGATAGAGAGGTGGTGGTATAATAATGAGGATTAATGGTTAGATACCATCTATCTTAGGGCCTGGAGACTAGATAGATACTCTCATTAACAGCTAATCTCTGCTCCATTAGGTAAATCTCAAAAACAGTCTCCAACTCTTGAGCACTCTTAATTTCCAGAAGGGAAATGAAAGCATTTGAGTATCTTAGAAGGTATTAAAAACTAAAAAACTAGCTAAAAGAGATGACTGATTATTGGTAGTTTGAACATTTTTACCTGGGTTTATATAAAATTATAAGACATGTCAAACTTCCATAGTAAGCAAATTTCACTTATATATTTTTGAAACAGGGCTTTTGCATACAGTCCTGAATGATACCCAGCTCTCCTCCCTCAGTCTCAGGAGTGCTATGGTTACACTACACCACGCTGTGCTTAGTCTCAACTTCTAAAAAAGAAAAATGTAAATGCAGCAAGACATATTAGCTGAGCAGAAAAGAGGTGGCAGCTTCAGAGATAATTTAAATTTTACAAAGAATAGAATCTGAAATAGGTCAACTGAAGAAATAGTAACACATGATCACTAGCCAGAAAACAAAACAAAACAAAAACCCTAAAACTGCAGGTCAAAAGGCAGAGGGGGAGAAAACACTCACTGGATATGGGTATGCCTATAATCCAGCATTCAAGAGGCTAAGTGAGAAGAAATGCCACAAGTTCAAAGCTATATTATTAATCAAGCTTTACAACCAGCCTGGGCTACTGAGTTAAGTGCTGTATTAGGGGAGGGGAGTGGGAACACAGAAAGTAAGAAAGCAATCAACAACACAACAAATTTAGTCATAAAAGATTTAGCCACAACTAATTTTGTTCTAAATAATAACCATATACAAGTCATTTCTCTTCTATTCAACACTTGCCACAATATACTGAGGACGCTTTGCTGTCCTCTGTTCACTGAATGTTAACACTACTCGGTCTTATTAATAATAAATATTGAATTTAGCAGTTGCATAGCAACACTGAATTATCCCACATGCTACGCTTGACATTAACAAGAGGCAAATAACAAAGAAACTCAAAAATTCATACCAAGATTTCACAGAAAAGCCATGAAGACCGATGACAAAGTGCCATAAAGAATAAACACTGAGCTCCCAACCATCTTGGTGACTGATCTTGGTTGGGGGCTGTTTAGCACATAAGGCTGGAAAATAGTAAGCACAAAGATGAAAAGACCCCAGAGTTGATCAACTCTAGGCTCTAACTTGTTATGAAAACTGGAAAGTACGTGTTGGGATAGTCTCTGAAGATGGTCAGACAGGGCAAAGCGAAGATGGCTATCCTCGCCAGTAATTACCCAGCTTTAAAGAAATCTGAAATAGAATACTATGCAATGCTGGCAAAAACTGATGTCCGTTACTACAGTGGCAATAATATTGGATTGGCCACAGCATGTGGAAACTACTAGAGTATACACACTGGCTACCACTAACCCAGGTGATTCTGATAGTATAAGAAGCACACCAGAACAGAGTGGTAAAAAGTAAACCAGGAAAGTTCTCCTTCCATTATTAAATATAGTGTGCTCTGAATACAGCATGTACATTAAAACAGAAACCATGATGAGAGCTAGAGAGGGAGATTGTTCACTGGTTAAAAGAACTTGCTGCTCTTGCAGAGGATCCAGGTTCAGTTCCTAGCACCCACACTGAGGTTTATAGCTATTTAACTCCAGGTTCAGGAGATCTGATACACCAGGCAGACATGTGGTAGGTACAATTAAGATACATGCAGATAAAATAGTCACACACATAAAATAATTAAAATCTTAATACACACATGCTATAGTATCAAAAGCAATCTACACACTCAATAATCCCTATCAAAATTCCCGTAACGGTCTTCACAGAATTAGGAGGAAAAATCCCAAAAATTCCCAAGGAAGCAAAACAGGCCACATATACCCAAAGCAATCCTAATCAGGAAGAACACTATGAGAGATATCACAATACCTCCTCAACTGACAAAGACAACAATGTATTGGCACAAAAGCAGACACATAGATGTGGAACAGAACAGACGACCCAGAAATAAAACCACATACTTTTTCGACGAAAGTGTCAAAATATATACTTGATTAAAAAAAAGAAGTCAATTCAATAGAGTGACATACAATCTTTATTACCTGGTACAAAACAACAACAACAGGAAAGCATTTTAATTACAGCCTCAAATTCTGAAACTTTTAGGGAATACTTCAAAATAAACACAGTGAAGAACTTTCTGTACAGGACTTAAGTAACATACCACAAAACATTAATCTCAAGATTTGACAAGTGAAATTATATAAAACTAAGATGGTTTTACATAACACAGGAAACTACAATAAATGAACATATTCTACCATTTCAGACAAGGACTTAATATCTACAATACAGAATGAGCTACAAAAATAAACATACACATAAACAAACCAAACTGTCAATCACTAAATAGGAGAAGGAACTGGTCATTCTCAGCAAATAAAACAATGAGATTCCATCTCACTCCAGTGAAAATGTATAGTAAAAAAGTAAAATAATAAAACACACAAAAGAACAAACAAAAATGAAAAAAATATACTTAATATATTGACCAAAAAAAAAAAAAGGGGGGGGGGAGGGAGGGAGGGAGGGAGGGAAAGAAGAACGATAAACCAGTATAACAAATATAAAAGTCACTACAAAGGTTTCTCAACCAACAAAACATACAACCACTGTAAGACTTAGCCATATCACTCCCAGACATACACTTAAAGGATTCTACATCTTACCAGAGATGCTCACATGTCCATTTTTACTGTGGTTCTAATCACAATAATGAGAAAATGGAATCAGTGTGGATATCTACCTACTGATAAATGAAATATAAAAATGTGGAACAAAAAAATTATTTACTTGCACAGATCAAATTGTGAAACTTGCAGGATGAATCTGCAAATTAAGTGAGGTAGCCCAGCTTCAGAAAGGAACATAGTACATGTTTTCTCTCATACATGGGGTGGGGGTGGGGAGGAATAATATGAATCTAAAGGAGGGAACAAGAAGAGCGGAAGAGGCAGTGAGGAAGAAAAGAGGTCAAGAGGATGCATGTTCCATAAAAGCAGGACGGGAACAACAGAGTGGGGGAACGAAGAGACAGGTAGGTAGAGAAAAACAATGGGAAAGATCAACAAAACAAATTATTAGGAAAATTCCACAATGAAGCCTATTATTTTGTATGCTAACTTTAAAAATTTTTAAATAGTGCTGAGATGGTTCAGGGGCTCAGAGCACTGGCTACTCTTCCAGAGGACCTAGTTTTGATTCCTAGCATCCACATAACAAACATCTGTAACTTGAGCACCAAGAGATTCAACACTCTTTTTGCCTTTGCACGCACCAAGCAATAAAGAAGTGCCGGCACATATGCAGACAAAACAAAATACCCATACATTAAAAATTAAAAAATGTGTAATATCAAATATTTTAAATAAATAAAAGAAATTTACATATTAAAAATAAAC